CTAAGTCGCTGTCGCCCGTGGCCGCCCCGCCGCTACGCGCCCTTGCATCCAGCTCCCTTGCCTGCGCCTCGAGTTCAGCGGCCCGCTGGTTCAGTGCGGCCCTCTCGGCGCGGGCACTTTCCAGATTGCGACGCGCTTGTTCCTCTTGCACAGCCTCGCGGAGGGATAGGTTGTCCGCCAGCCGTTGCGCCGCGGCCTCGGCCTCCTCGAGAGCTTGCTCCCGCTCGGTGAGCGCGTCCTCGCGGAGGCGGAGCGCGGACTCTTCTTCGGCACAGGCGGCTTCGTGCACCGCCAGCGTGACCTCCCGAATAGCAATGGCGGCCTCGCGGTCTGCCAGGTCCCTCTCCACGGCGCAGGCACGCTCTTCCAGCGCCATGGCACGGGCCTCAAGGGCTTCTTCGCGCCGCCGGGATGCCACCTCGGTCTCCGCCGCCCGCCGTTCTCGGGCAGCGGCAGCGTCAAGGACCCCCCGGGCGGCGTCGAGCTTTTTCCCTAGCTCCGCCTCCCAGCTCCCATATTGAAGGCGGAGGGTGTCCTGCGCCTCGTTCATCATGGTGATGGCGATGAGGGCAGCCCCCCGCTCCTCCTCCACCTCCTTGGCGATCTCCCCCAGCACCTTCCGACGGGCTTCGAGCTCTGTGACGTGCCGGCGGTGTGCCTTGCGGCCCACCTCCACCATGGCCTCCACCGAGCGTCGCCCCTCTTCGACACGCGCCCATGCGGCGTCAAGCTCCGCCCGCTCTGCTTGCAGGGCCTCCACCTGGGCACTTAACCCGTCCAACACCGTGGTGTTTGCGACGGCCAAGGCCTGCAGAAGGGGTTCTGCGCTCAGTGGAGCAACGGAAGGCGTGGGGAAGAGCCGCCTCGGTGAGGATGCCGCGCGGCTCGGCCCGCCGATGGACGTGCCGGACTCAGGGATGTCCCCCGGACCTGGCTTGTCCTGAGCGTCGCCCGAGGGAGTGGGCCCAAGCGATGCGCCCGCGGCCTCGTCGCGAGCTGCCTCAGAAGTTGTCGCCGCCTCGGCCTGGCGAAGTCTGGCCTCCTCCTGAGCGGCTTCTTCAGCTTGGCGAGCTCGGGCGGCCACCTGGGCGGCCTCCTCGGCTTCCCGTAGGCGATCCGCGGCTTCTCGCCGGTCAGATTCCCGCCTCCGAGCCTCTGTGGTCGCCGGGTCCTCGGCCTCAGACTGGCCGGACTTGGAATGGCGGGAGGGACGCGACGGGATCTCGCTGAAACAGAAGAAAGACCAGAAGACAAACAAGATGGATGAGTGAAAACTCGCGTTGAGGGAATGAATACGGCCACGATGGGCGTGGGACGAACCTGCGAGGGGGTCGGTTAAACGACCACCTTGGAGGGGAAATAAGGTTTCCCCGGGATGGTTCTGTCCCCCCCATCTTGCGGAGCCGTTTCTTCTTCCGCTCCCCCTCGGGCTGCGACGTCGGCGTGGCCCCCTCCGGGCGCCTGCTGCTGGCACGCGCCGCCCCGCCCCCTCGGGGAGGAGATGGGGGAGGGGTTCCTTCCTGCTTCCTCTTCCCCCGGGCGTCGGCAGGGCGGCCGCTCCCCGGGCCCCCGTCGCGGGGCCCATAAGCACGACCCCCTCCCGGGGTAGATTGTTCCCCCCTGCGGCTCCCGCCCGCGCCATCGTGGCCTCGAGGAGCCCGCTCCTCCGACGCCCCGACCGCCTGCATGATGGTCAGGATGGAGGCGCGGTCTGGATCGCTGCAGAGGGGGAGGACTCCTTGAGGAATGAGGGATGCCTCCATGGAGCTGAGATTCAGCACCCGTTGGACCACTATCTTGAAGTCCTCAGGAGCCCAGTCCCATCTGACCCCCTGGTGGGTCCTCATACAGTCCTCGGACCCGGTGTACTCCCAGGCGCCCCGGGCGCGCCGCTGGAGTGGCGCGATCCGGCGACGAAGATAGTCGCCGAACACCATGGCCCCTGTGAGCCCCTGGGATCGCAGGCCCGCCAGGCGGTCGAGGACGGCGTCGTAGCCATCTCCCAGATCTACCGGCGCCCGCCAGTTGGAGGCCTGCGCTGGAGGCTGGCTCGGAAGTCGGAGGCGCGCTTCGTCGGCGAGGGGGGTGTAGAACCAGTCGCTCTTCCAGTCATCCCACTTCTTGCGGAGGACGCAGGGAATGTAGCGGTTCAGCACCGGCCCCCGCGGCTGGAAGTAGCAACCACCAACCACCGACGGCGGCGACACCGGCTGTACGGTGAAGAACCACCGGAACAGCCGAAGGGATGGGCGCACCCCGATGAACATCTCGCACAGGTGCGCGAAGATGGCCAATGTCATTACCGCGTTGGGGGTGAGGTGCGCCATCTGGAGATCGTAAAATTCCAGAACATCCATGAAGAAAGAAGAAAATGGCGGAACCAGCCCTGCCATAGCAAAAGGGAGGAAGAAGACAGACCGCCCCGGGTAGCGTGGCGCCGGGCATCCCTCGCCCAGCGAGACTATCTCCCGGCCGGTGGCAGATTCCGGCATGAAGCGGCGCGGCAGCCCGGCCTGTCTCTCGCTCACGATGCGGGAAGGCGGCAGCACGCTACCGTCAAGCGGAGCGGAGCCCCGTGCCATGACGCCGGAAGAAGAGATGTTTGAGAGCGAGCGCGTGTGGCGAAGGTAGGGCACAGGAAACAAGGAGTTAGGGCGCAAGCGGCGAAGACAAGGGGAATAATGGCGAGAGGAAGGAAGCAAATCTCTTCCTCGGCGACTTTATACCCTTGCCAACGCTGTGTCCGGCTCCTCGTTTCTCGCGCCCACTATCTTGCCCCCTCGTTTCTCGCGCCCACGCTTCCACTAATCCCATTCGCCCGTTTGCGGTGCATGAGGTGGATATGCGGCTGTGGCAGTCGAGATGGAACATCTCGTGCGCGCGTTAATTACGCTCGCCGACCGAAGCGCCATCACCATATCTCCAGGAAAAACGAACCGGCTTGTCCCGATTTTTAGACCGGCCCCACCTGTCACCAGGCCTTAGGAAGTGGCGTCACGCCCGACCGCTTCCCTCGAGGAGGGCGATCGCCCTGGCATGACGCCGGGGGCTACTGTCGGTGACATGGGACCGGGAGTATCGTGACTTAGAGACTTGAGGCAGAAACGATCACCCACGTGGCCTAGCCTCCTCGGGGGGGATCGGGCCCGAGGGTGATACGGCCGCCCTTCTCTTTGTCTCCCCGAGGGGTCGGACCGCTCCCGTCTCGGCCCCGAGGGCCGAGGCGCCCCGACCCCTTGTGGGTTTTGCGCCGCGTATATGGGGTAGGTGAGCATAGCGGGGCTCACCTAACCACATTTATTGCGGTTTGGACGAGCGCGTCACGCCGCATGTAACGCAGTGCAGCGCGCTCGTTTATCCGGTCAGTGACCAGTCACAGACCGATCAGATCGTGGGTTAGGTGGCGACAGGCGGTCTGACGCACGCCTCGCCCCATCCCGTCAGGACGAGAGCCTCCAAGCACTCGTCCCTAGCCGGAGCCGGCGTGTTAGCTCCTGGAGATGGCACGTTGGTTCCGGTCAGATATATGCTAGGCTTCATCCTAACCATTACAGGCAAGATATTGTATGAAGAAGGGCGAACATGTAGATTGTTAAACTGACACGTGGTGGACAAGAATGACCGATTTGTGACCGGTCTGACAATGGTCATGTCGTCAGCAGACAGCCATGTTCCCACGTCGCGCCTGCTTCCGGCGGAAGTGGAGGTAGGTATGGGCCGTCCCATCAGAAGGTCATTCGGACGGCAACCATACAAGTCTCCGTCTGTTTATGAATAAAATAGGATAAGTCCCCACAAAAAAGAGAGAGATGGTGCATGTGGTATCCCCTTGAGGTATAAAAGGAGGACCTTGCCCACTTAGAAAAGGGGGATTTGAAAAAAGAAAGGAAAAAACGATCCCAGAACGATCGGGGGCTGGCTCGCACTTTGTAGCTTCTTCATACACAGATCCACCAAAACACAGGAGTAGGGTATTACGCTTCTCAGTGGCCCGAACCTATATACGTCGCCCGTGTCTTGTGTGTTTCCACTCTTGCGAACTTTCCATAGGCTAGGAGCTTAGAACCTCACCCAGGGCCCCCGGCCGAACCGGCAAAGGGAGGCCTGCGCGGTCTCCCGGTGAGGAGCCCCAAGCTCCGTCAAGGCCTATCTCGGAAGTGTCTCCCTCCATCTCCACGAATTAGCACTTAACCCTAGCTTTATTTTCCTCTATAAATAGCTTTGTACATCCTCAAAAATATTTGGGTTTTGTTTAGTTGAATTTTGCCAAGTGCCATTCACCTTGTCTCTAGTCCTCGCTCGATTAGTCGGCGACTATTGATTCAGAGCCCCCAATAGTTGGTGTGTTGATTTGCCGGGTCGATTAGATCTACCATTTTAATCGCAACTATTCCTCTGTGCTTAATCACCCATTCGCAATATTTAGATTGTATCTTATCTTGTTCTTGCAGTGTTCTCTCGTTTGCATTGCAGGAATCATCAACCGCGCGTCACGGTTGGTACGACATCGTTTGTGGAGTAGCGATTGCATGGCGTCCTGGACTTGTTCTGGTTGGTAGCCACGTCGCAAACGTCGCACTCGATCAAAGCGAGAGTTATTCCCTCACCAGAAGATCGGGCCACGAGAGAGAGCGTCATCAGTTGGTATCAGATCCTCAATTGCCTGGTGAGGATTTTAGTTTTATAGATTTATTTTTCCTACCTATCCATCTACAAACTTGCCGCACCACTTTTCCCTTTACCAAACTATAGGTTTGTGCTTTGCAAATTTCTTTCAGCTTTGTGTCGTTGAATTCTAGTCCGTGGTCGCTCTGAATCAACACAAATCGGAGTTGGCATGAAGGCGCTAGATCCGTTTGAAGTCAGTGCTGTCTCCGGAGGCTGAACTAGACTTGGACTTGGAATTATCATTGGAGCGTGTGAAGTTATGAGCGTATCCGACAAAGTGATGTCCTCATCACACAGAGAGCAATACATCATAAGATGACTGACAACATATATGCACGTACAACTCTGTCATATATATATATGCAGTAGAAGACACTGACTGACGAATACAGCACATAACTGAATAATGAACCTGCATGCCAGGCTAATGGAGGACTAAACACACGAATACAACACTGGCTAGATCAGTGCTTTGCTTATGTTATTGCTAGGACAAGGCGAGACACAAGATCTGTTTCTATTCTTTTTTGAACGAGAGTACATCTGCTACTACTGAACTGGAGTATATATACACGATACGAGCAGCAATAATACAATACGAGTCACTGAACTAGAACACTCAGACTTGTAGATAAATAAGATTAAGAGATTAGCTCAAAGCTCAAAGCTTATAGTGGGATTGCAGCGTACCGTCCAACCTCGAGCGAGCAATACACCCTCGATCGATCGATCGATCCATCGGTGTTAGTTATATAGACTGAACCTGAGAAGGGGCTTGTTTGGGTTTGGGTGGTTGGCAAGCTGCTCCTCCACGTCTTTCACAAAGTCGTCCCTGTACTGCCTCTGCCTACCACTCAGCATGAATTCCCTGAGATTTTCGAGCTCTTCTAGCCCCGACGAAAATCCAACGCGTGAGCCAATGAAATGACTAAACTGCAGCAGCTCAAGCTTGGGGGTTGCGCCTCCTCCAAACTGCACTGATTCGAGGCGGTCATGACTACATATCCTACTTACCTCCAACACCCTCAGGCTCGGGAACAATACTACTGCGGTGGCCTCCTGCTGCTCCTGGCGGAAGTTGAGACAGACCACATGATCGTTGAACGAATGCTCCCACAGGCGCAGGATGGCCAGCCTTGGCAGTGTCCCGAGGACTTTGATGGCGGCATCGGCATCCTCCAGTTCGGTCCACATCAGTCTCAGCTTCACGAGATTCTGGAGCTTTCCGATCCACTGTGGCAGTTTGCCTAGCGCACCCTGCAGCTTGAGGCTCTGCAAGTTCTCCGGAGGAGGCGAGGTTGACGACGACGACGACGTGCCATGTAGGCCTTGACACCAACCTGCACACACCGACAATGACTCTAGCTGGCTGAGCTTGGAGATGGCTGAATAGAAGGATGGACCATTCTTCTTGTTGATGCCCACCACGCCTAACTTACGCAGCTGGGTGAGTCTCTCTATCTCTTGTATAACAGTGTTTCCCCACGCCAAGTGCACGTGTCGGAGTGTATGCAGGCTTTTTAGTTTCCTGCTCCCTCGTGGTAGCATAGGGAAATCATTATCTAAGTCCATCATGAGAACACGGGGCTGGATGCAGCAATTGTAGTTGCAAGCATCACGCCTGTTGAAGTCTCCCACGAGACGAGGTACGTAGCATGCGCAGCATGCTCCAGTACAAAGCTCTAGACTTCTCTCTGCTATACTTTGCTGACCCACAATTCCGATTTTACCAGCGTGGAGATATTTTAGCTTCCGAAGCTTCACGATGGTTTTCGGCAGCATCGCTATAAACGTGCTTCTAATGTCTAGTGTCTCAAGTTGCCTCAAGTCACACAACAAATCTGGCAGGTGACAAATGTTGTGACATTCTCTTAGAGAAAGGTACCTTAGGTGAACAAGCTTTCCAATGTGCTCAAGGTGGTGATCAACTAGACCTTCAGTGTCTTCCAAGTCGAGCACTCGTAGCATCCTCATCTTTTCAGAAACGAAAAAAGGTTTCCATTTTCCAAACACCGTTAATGACCTTACACGGGACAGGTCCACTGTGTTCTCAAACTCATGTTTGTCTCCTTCCCAATTACTGCTTATGGCAAGATGACGGGCTGTGCCCTGTGTCTTTGAGCTGCAACCTTTCTCCAGCCTAAGTACAAGGTTTTCCTCCATTGACTTTGTGATGCTGATTTCACGCATGAGATCATGTAGCTGGCAATAGTCTATTCCTCCCTCAGGTCTACTTGCGTTTTGAGCAACCGGTAGTGTCATGCTCCTACTTATGAGCTCAATGAAGTTGTCATGAGCTATTTCGATTGGAGATTTGCCACGTGCCTCCGTTGTGTAACCCTCAGCAGTCCATCGCTGCATCAAACGTTTTCGGCTAACCTTGTGGTCTTCGGGGAAGATGGACAGATACAAGAAACATGACTTGAGTTTGTATGGTAAACCATCGTAGCTTTTCAGCAGGACTGTGCTAATGGTCTTGAGTTCTGGATTCATCTCAAGCTCAGCACTAATATGCTCATTTATCTTCCTCCACGCCAAAGCAGTCTTTGGTTGGTTTGCCAAGAAACCACCTATGGTGACTATTGCAAGGGGAAGTCCATTACACTTCTTCAAGATCAGATTCGCTTGTTCAACTAAGTAAGGATATTGTTCATCCAAATTTGTCTTTTCCTTGAATACCTGAAAGTGAGACAGTTTGAAGTCCTTTAGTACTGCATGCCAAATAAATTAAATTAATTACTTATGCACATATGCGTGTACTAAGTTAATGAATTCAAACGTTTTGACGAGGACAATTGCCATTTATTTTGTAAATGCACATATGTTAGCTAGAGAATGAAAGGCTGCTTCTGGAACAGTGCATGACGGGGCAGGATTCTTCAAACAGAATCTGGACTTTTAATGAAAATACCTCCTTACCTTGCTTGCTTTGGAGATGGTGGTATTTTCGAAATAAAATCAATGCAGGGGAAATAATGCTATCAATTGATGGAATTTTTCAAGATGTCAGGTTCCATCTTGCTGAACAAGAGAGGATGAGAAAGAAGAAGGGAGGTGATAGACAGGAAAGAGCGCAAAGATGGAACTTGCCACCAGTCGGATTCTACAAGGTAAATGTGGAGGTGGATGGGTTTTTGTTGCTAGGAATGACACAGGGGAATTCCTAGAGGCGGGGGGCTGGTAATCTTGAACATGCTGCTAGCGCATTAGGGCAGTCCCAACCCTCCATCTAGGATGGTGTCTATGGCATTAACTACATTGCCATGTAGGATTTTTAGCTTATGTGGCACTATATTAATTAAGAGAGAGAGTGAAGAGAGAAAGAAACTGGGTCTCATGCAAGACACAGCTTCAACACAAGAACCTATGCACTAGACACTATCAAGTTTTGCATTGGGAGAGAATAATGCCTTCATAATAGATGAAGAATAAATATGATTGGTAGAGAAGAGAGATGATGTATTTATTAATGGCCCACTTTAAGAAACCATGGGTTGTAGAGTGTAGTTTCTATTGTGATGTCTTATTGACATGGCACCATAGACACTACTTATGGACACCATGGGTTGGGACTTCCCTTACAGGGGAAGCTATGGCGATGATGAATAGTTTGGACTTTGGAGAAAGTGGCGCAACTCGGTATGGCAAGAATCATTGTTGAAACAGATGCGACCAACCTGGGACGAGCAATTACATTGCATGCGTTGGACTGCAGCCCCTATGGAGCTCTGTTCAAGAAGATTAGGGCTTTTTTAAGTATTTCTTTGATCAGTTCATTGCATTTGTTTGCCCTAGAACTTGTAATAAGGCGGCTGATTGTCTGGCCTCCTTCATCGCTGTTGCCGTGGACTCTGTCTCACCATGTTTTTGGAGCCAAAGCCCCGGAGTTTGTAGCTGGTTTACTCTTTGGTGATTTTTCTAGAGCTACTGGTTAATTGAAGGTGAACTCCTTCGTGTAAAAAAAGTTAGTTAATGAATTCTCTACACCTCTTCCATGTTTTGTTTCCGTTTTGTGGTGATCTCTTCCACCTTGTTAACAACCGAGGGCTGTTGACATCACGTTTGGCTTCGAGACACATGACTTTCGATCTCTTAGGTGTTTTTTCTTTTCATCAATCAAGTTGTCTAATTAATTTCCATTTTCTTTAGTTAGGTTCTCTATCATATCTATCTATCATATTACGAAGATAGCTCGAAAAGGAGACACATGTTTGCTACAGAGACTAAAAATTCTAAAGAAAATGAAAAGGATTGAGTCTCCTAGTTTTTATTACTTAAGTTCTTATAATGGGATCTGATAGACCTTCTCATATAATAAATAGCCTTTGGTGAAGATCAATAATAAGGCAAATTCATTATAAGTAAGTCTCCTACAAATTTTGTCTGATGCATAACATCGATCTTTCTGTCCAACAAGTCAACATTCGAGGAAGATATATCAATAAATTAAGGAGATGGGTATTATAAATAAATATCATATGGTTCCCTTTCTTCGAGAAATTGCAGCTTTGCCACGTAATTGGATGGTATCCTTCTTCAACTATGTCAAGGATATCGCCTTTTCTCTTTTGACATATAGTTGGAGGGATAATCTCATTTGCTAATTTTACCGAACTGCCCCTTTCTTCCTCAGCCAGTTGTTCGCACAACCTTGTGTGCATTGCTCCCTGCTACTTGCATGGCACCATTGCTGCTCGAGCTACATGAGCCAATGCCACTTCCTGTTTGTTGTCACTGATTATTATTACTACCCATCATCTCTGCCCCCGCTCTCTCGTAGGTGGGGCTAACAAGGTCATCAGAACTAGCCTTGAGAGAGAGAGAGAGAGAGAGAGAGAGAGAGAGAGTCGGAGGAAGAAGAGGGTGAATATGTAACTAACTAAGGTCCATACCCTTTGAAAATAAGTCAACATTCTTGAAATTTACTTATGACTTTGTCCTAACAATGTGCCCGTCAAATATGGATATGGTCTTCATGTTAGGAGGCACACATCGGTATGGGCGATACGTGATGTGCACAATCGATTTAATTTTGTAGTGTCACTTTTGGATTAGATAAAATCCTATGATTAAGCGAAATCACTTACTTAAAATCAACAAAAGGAGAATCTTTCGAGAATTTAAAACAACCAAACTTAAGATTTATGAAGTAAGAATGTGTTCACTTTGTTGCAATGTTCAACTTCAGCATTAACAACACTGAAAAAGGCAACATACAAAACACACTATTACTAACACAAGCCTATCAGATTTATGGGTCTATTTAGTTTTGTTGCCATTTTTCAACTTTATCAAACTTTGGTAATGCCAAATTATGGTATCACTAAATTTTGGTAGGGTAAAAGAAGGTTGGGTAGTGTTTTTTGGTAGAATTTTGATGGTATAAAGTTGTGGAGTTACTAAGATTTGGTAGAATTTTGTTGGTAATAGTGTGTTTAATTTGTTGGCTTTGTAATTTCAGAACTTTCCAAACTCAATATTCTACCAAAATTTGGTAAGGCCCTAATTATACCAAACACTACATAATTTTACCAAATTTTTTCCAACAAAGTGAACACACCCTAAATATTCCATTGGCAAACGATCGAATGGTCTTCCTGTTAAAAATAATCCTCGAATAGTCTCAAGTATCACTTTAACTTTCTGATTGGTGTTCATAGTTTTGTTCACATTTGTTTTCGCTAACCTTGGATACAGTAGATGGTATATATATTTGATTTCCATCTTTAATCCCAAAACTTGTGGATTACGGGCTTTACTAAAACTTGTGCGTGTGTGTGCATATTGCCTTTTCAACCTTATCAAATTTTGACATTACTAATATTTGCAAGGAAACGAACCAACACACCATTGTCATCGCTACCCTACTGGTAATTTTGGAACCTTTTACTCTAGAAAACTCTTTACGAAAATTTTGTAAAGCCTCAAATCAAACTCCACCTAATCTTTCTATATCCTACCAAAATTTGGGCATTACCAAAGTTAGAAAAGGTTGAAAGTAGCAAAAAAATGAAATACATGGCCTACAAACATTTATTATATGATATGGTTGCATCACTATATTATTTGATTATTTCCATAGAAAAAGGTTCTGCTTACAAAATGTGCATGATGATATTTACCAAAGCAAAGCATGCTCAGTAATTGTGATTAAAATGCAGTAATATCAAGCGAAACAATTAGCAGCGCATGGCATACCATTTCAGTACCTCTTTCGTGAGTAGATCATGTGCTTGATTATTGTCTAGCCCACCGAGCTCGTATATATTATTTATTTCTTTTGGATATGTAATAACAACTGAAATTGTTAATAGCGCATTGTAGTAGTGCTATTTCATTCGTACCTTTTTAGTGAAGAGTTGGAGTGCTTGATCATTTTCTATTCCGCTGAGCTTGTATATATGTGCATTAGTTGTTTCTTTTGAACAATGCTTAGCAATATTCTCTTCCCTTGTGGTGACTATGATGCAGCTTCCAGCTTTGTTGGGAAATTGTGCCACCATATCATCCCATTCCTTGGTATCCCATAGATCATCGAGAACAACCAAATAGCTCTTTCTTTCTAAGAGTTCGGACAAATCTCTCTTTTCCTCATTTCCAAACTGCTTAGCTAAGCTGTGAATGAGTTGCCCAGAGTTAAAAGGGCGCAATACTGTAACACAAGCACGTGCATCAAAATAACTGCTAACATCTTGACTTCGATATATATCTTGGACTAGAGCGGTTTTTCCAAGGCCACCCATTCCCCAAATAGAGATCACTTGAGATTGTTGACTCACTTGGTTTTTAATTAGCTTGATAATGTCAGATTTTTCTTTTGCACGACCGATGAGCTGAGATTCCTCCAAGGTTGATACCATCGTCTCAGTGCGACCAAGCTTTTTATTAGCTGTGAGATTGTTGTTACCATTACTCGTGGTTATGTTTGAGCTAGAACTTGGCTCCACTAAGAGTGTTCCGTCTTGAGAACCCTACACACAAGTGAGTTGTTAGGTATATATATACCCTTCCTTTACCAAAAACAATATTTTTCTTGTGTTTAAAGCTTGTAAATTTATTTATAAGGCCTTTTTTGGCAGGCCACAAATCTTGGCCCATCCCTCATGGAATCCTGGCCCACCCATGGAGAATGGGATGGGAATGAGGCCTGCCAAATAAGGCCTAAAATATTTTGACTATGAAAAACTAAATAAATAATGTTTGTATGGTTTGGATCTCAGAGGAATTACATATCTGGTGACAATATTGCTGGATCAATGAAAGAAATAGCTTTAGGTAGGCCAGGGATATGAACAAAGCCACAAAATTTGCACACTCAATGCATTAAAAAAAACTTCCATAGTTGAAGTTATTTTGCAACATGATGATAAATTTCATAATTTTTTCCATGATGCATATAGTGACAACAAGTTTGTTTAGGGTTTTTATCTATCTACTCTTTCCATCTTAAAATATAGCTATATTTAGGATTTTTTTAGGGATTAACTATTAAGGAAAAGTGGAAAATCGAATCGGATAATGTTGTGACCAGTTGATATGAGAAAACATGTGGAGAAAGTAGTCATATTTTAAGATAAATTTTGAATGCTAAATGCATTATATGTTGGGGGCCAAGAAGTATTTATCAAGACACATTTATCAACATCTAACAACTCTCAAGTCTATAATTTTATTTTTGTATGACACAAGTAATACTCTAAATCTCTAACTTGAAAAATAAAAGGAATAAATTTCATAGAACCACATATACTTTGGTTAAATTATCACAAAACTGCAGATTTAAGATAATGTATAAAAAAACTACAGATTTAACACAAAATTTATTGGATAACTACAAATTTAACATGAAATTTATCACAGAACTATAAGTGGAGTATTTATGTTTATCAAGTACGGGATTACCGGTTTGTCTCCTTAATAAAGAATTGAGGAATATGAGGTGAATCCCCTAGGAAACAACTAGAGTTTTTCAGATTCACTGGACAGAGAATAGTATCCTCTCACACTAGGTCATATTTTTCTTCCTCGTTAAGCAAGAAAGAAAGGAGAGTTTTCACAAGAAAGAACTACGATCAGTTTTGGAGGGCTATCTTACCGACCATCACTTCTCCTTTGTATGTGCTGAAGACGCAAGTAGCCCAATGACAGGCATGTGTTGGAGGACAACATGCATAGGTCTTTTGGCAAAATTGGGGGCTTGTTGATCTGACCGTCAATGGTGGCGAGAATTTTGCATTTGGCCTCAACTATTATGCAGTATGCCCCAAATCGACTTCCACCACTCCCTAATCGGATTAGGGATGGAGCGATGATTAGGGCAGCGGCGCAGTGCAATTTGAAAGTGGTGGAGTCGATATGAGATAATGTAGCGGAGGAGTCTAAATGCAATATTCTCGCTATAGTGGATGGCCACTTTAGCGCCCGAGCCATATCATGTGCACTTTGAACTTTGGGTGGTACATTAAACCAAGATTTTATATCTAAATGTGTATTTTATAAGTTTATGAAATTAGATGACACCTTGATACAAGTTTAAGAACCAATCATACATTTTTTTTAAAGAAAAGATGATAGAACATGGGTAACAGCATGTCAACTATAGTATGTTGGGCCGGATGAAAGTGGCGCCGACGTGTGAGACGACTTCTATGAGACTACGACGGTAATTGTAGTTAACTGGGACCAACTAAGTAATCAGTATATCTTGTATATTTGCTAGTATTCTAGGTTTGAATGAAATTTAACTACATTAGAAGTTGAGCTAGATGAATAACTAGCTAGGTTGTACTGACTAACTAGATGATTTTAGTAGTTTAAAATTTACCTCCCCATTTAGTTTCAAAAAGAAAAAAAAGGTTACCTTCTCATAGAAAGCATAGATAATCTGATCATCGAGCAATTTCTTGTGCTCTGGGGGTACACTGTCTTGCGGTACACATAGTCTGGCAACTTCAACATGCTCTGTGCACAATATGATTCGGCTCCCTCTATCATTGCTTGGGAAGCATATTTTTATCTTATTCCACTCTTCCAGAGAGGATAAGTCAGTAAGCACAATCAAGTAACTCTTCTCATTCAGATATCCCTCAAATGCACTCACCAAATCATCTTCCTCCATGTTTCCCATCTTCTGTAGAATTCGGTCCACTAAATCAGTTGCTTCCATTTTAAATTCCCTAGTCTCTTGAAGAGAATTCTCGTACAATTGCCTGCTAATGCTCTGCAGCAACCATGTTTGATTGCAAAGACTTTTTAGCCTGATCCAAGCGTAGCACTCAAACTTCCTCATCTTGAGATCATCATAGGCCCTTCTGATAATAGATTTATCATCGAGAAGACCATTTTTTCTCCATACCCCGATCACTCTAAGCTCCTTGTCATTGGTGTTGATCAGTCCAACAAGATCCATTTTAGCTTTGTCCTGTTGCCGCCTTGTTTCTTCCAATTCAGACATGGTCGTTGCACCGGCAATCCTAGACTGCATGCCATCAGTTGCCTTGGAGGCAGAACCATCGATGAGGCGGTAGCGGTTGTTCCTCTGGCTGACATCCTCAACCTTGGCTCTTAGCTCCTTCATCTTCTGAGCCACACGACGCCGCTCAAGCAGCATTCTTGGGCTGCACTTGCGCCACCAAGATGGCTTCCCGACACGGACGGCCATGTCCTGGAGGCAGTCCTCGACATCGTAGGCGACATCACGGACCTGCTGCACCCAGGCCTTGACAACCTTGTGCTTGTCACGCTCCTCGTCCGCGGCCATGAGGAAGGCCTGCATCATATGGAGCTCGTCCCTGATGAAGGCATGGTCCCGCTGGATGCCGAGCTGCAGGGCCACCTCCTCCGCGACAGCGGATTGGGCGTAGCCAAGCGCTCCACTCAGCACGGACTTGCCAAGGCTCAGCACCGTCGACTCCATCACCACCCTGGCTCTCTCTCCCTCTCCACACACTGTACACACCCAACTCTTGGTTGATTTGTGCAGATTCTGTGGTTGAGGAAGTTGCAGCAGGCAGCTAGCGCAATGAGAGACCAACAGAGTGATGAACGACTATAAACATATGTTGCAGGGAAAGTAAAGGCCTTTAATTTAGAAGATGCCCACCTTGCTTGCTGCTTTTACGTTGTGTTCATCCAGGCAAAGCAAGAGATCGTATGATACTTTAGCTAGATATCTTTGCGTGCTCTCATTCTCCAAGGATAGATTCTGATTAAGGACAACATACATGATGCATTCCCTCCCCAAGTAAGATCATGACCCTCCTCTGTACTGTACATTACTTGCCCCCAAGGTTTGGGATTTTTTTTGTCCGTGTATTTCTTCAAGTTTCTTATACATGTTACGATACGGCAGGCAGACAAAATTGCAGGATCAAGCTGCTTTGTTCTTGCAATTCGTCAGGCTTTCAGAGAAGTTCATTATCTCACAAAAGAGAAGGAGCTAGTCCGATCGATACATCGGAGGACGAATAAAGATAGAGCAAAAAGCTCAAGGCACATTCTAATTAGATGCCATCTTTCCGAACTATTTTAATTATTTGTCATCTGGATCCGATCCACTGGTTTGTTGCTATTTTGCCATTTTTGCTATCTACGCAGCAAACCGTGTACAAAAGACCTCATTGCCTCTGATCTCGTTCCTCCTATCTGTCTTCTTCCCTGGAGCTCCATGTCTCCATGATTCAGCACAAATAAACATGCAAAGCTCAAGCTCATGGCATCAACAGAGGAAAGAAACAAGAAATGAAATACGGGCAGGCATATTATCTATACAACCAAATAGTACCAGCGTACGTAGGCTGCGTAGAACAGGATGGATGATGGATCATCATAATCAAAGCTCAAGCTCCAGCTCTTTTTCTTCTTCATCATCTCTAATTACATTTGTGCAGAAACCAAACTTGATTGTTAGGCGGTAAACTGCTACTCCCCCTGTTTTATATTATAAGTCGTTTGACTTTTTTTCTTAGTTAAAATATTTTCGGTTTGATCAAATTTATAAAAAAAATTTAGCAACATCATTAAATTTAATATTGAATATATTTTAATAATATGTTTATTTTGTATTAAAAATGTTAGTATATTCTTTTACAAATTTGATCAAACTTAGAAAAGTTTGACCAAGAGGTCAAACAACTAAATTGGTGTGTTCTTACCCAAGTTTCCAACACATCTCACTCGTTTTCCGCGCGCACGTTTTCAAACTACTAAACGGTGCGTTTTTAGCAAAAATTTTCTATGCGAAAGTTGCTTAAAAATTATATTGATCTATGTTTGAAAAAAATAGCTAATATTTAATTAATCACGTGCTAATGGACCATTTCGTTTTCCGTGCTCACTGTGCTCGATGAGAACTAGAACCAGCGAACACACCCTTAGAGTAGTCTACTACTGCTATTAGTAGCACAGAGACAGAGACAAAGTCACATTACAAACGTTACAGCTAAGACAAGAACAAGAACAGCTACTACACCACAAGACAATATTATTAGCTTCGGTGATTCGATTTCCCTGCCATAGCGCCAGGAGAAAAAAAGGGGAAGGAATTGCTGCCCCATCATTGCCTGATTAATCTTTTCGTTCTTGATTTGAAACCATTAGCACGGGGCGACGGTGACAGAGGATACCATTAGCACGATGCAGTGCAAAGGACATAGATGATTTGCATTCATTCGGAACTCTGTTGGGAGAGGAAGGCGTTACACGGTTCTAGCTCAGATTAGAGTACTGCCTCGAAGCAAATCTTAACCCCATGACTACAACCTAACAGAAGAGATGACACTACATTAAGTTCCAACAATGTCTTCATCACATGAGGATCAGAAAACTGCCATGTTGGGTTCTGACCCGGCAGGTTGTGAACACTGTCATATTCTGAATGTGTGCCGGGGGATGATGAACAGAGGACTTGCTGAGAATACCCAAGGTGGATGTCTCCTCCTGACTGTGTGCCGAAGCAAGAGGAGGAGGTAGGAAGTCTTTCCCCCATGAAGGATGGCTGGTATGCCTAGAAACACAGGCAATGACTAATTATATATGATGAACTCAAACAATCATTTTATTTGAACGGTTCAGTTTTATTTTTCAATATAGAATTGAATGGCTAATTAGTTGCTTGTGGAACTTTTGGACTTCTTAGTTAAATAATTTTAAAGTGGTGAACATGATCAATTAGCTTTTAAACAAGTATGGTTCACAAAACCACCGGTAAACAGTGAAAAACTCATTCAAAAACCATACTTTGATGCAAATTTCGGTTTCCATTTTTTTTTTGGCAAAAACCAGAGCTTATCACATAAACTGCCAAAACAGGGGTAGCGTATTCAGGGAGCCATCGTTTTTTTGTAAACCATGAGTATGGATGTGCAGAACAAGTGGCAAAATTACTAGTAAGAACACATAAATTGCACAAGTAATTTCGGTAAGGTGATCGGCTACCTGTTTTTATCATAGAAGTTGCAAGCGAGACGCTAGGTAGTACACCAGTGGACCCAAGGGTCAAGTAGGCGTGTATGGTCACTGCAAATTAAGGCACATTCTAATTTATCTTTCTATATGACGATGAGAAAATGCACACATGGGTAAGCCAAATGGAATACTACAACATACCTCAGGACACTATCGAGGAACATCAAGTTACCCAGGTATGTCTAGGACAGGATTGAAGCATCTCTCTGTGGAGGCCAATAGCCTTCGATATTCTCAGTTTAGCCTAAGAAACAAGAAGTCTCATTAAAAATATCAAAAGTACAATTAACTAGAGAACAGGTTTGTGCATATACCATTCTTAATATCAGGTACAGTTACTTATACTTTGATCGTTTTCTCCAATCATCTGGAGGCAATAAGCATGTCGAGAAAGCTTTCAAAGAAAAAGGATCATGCTTTTCAAAGGAATACGGTCCAATTGCCTTCACTTTCTTCCTTCTAAGATCAATAGCTACCATCTTTCCCTTACCCAAGCTAGCCTTAGATCTCATGTACACAACATCACCATCATCCACACCCAGGGTTGGAGAAGCTAAATTCTCTGCAAGATTTGGACTTAACCCTGATATGTCAACAGCATCAACCTCACAACCTTTTTCCCAACAGTTGGACGAAACATGCCGACTCCATGACACAATCCTCCAACCATCCTTTCTCTGCAGCTGCTGGGGTTTCTTGTTCAAATCTTTGAGGTTATATGACACTATCAGGTCAGTGTCGTAAAGAACTTGCATTTTGCTGGGATCACTTGGCTTCTCAGTTGTTACGATCACACGGTGTTCCATCTCGACGAAGCTCATCACACCGTCGACGCACACGAGATCACGGAACGACTTAGCCAAAGTTCCTGGGAGAAACTCCTTCAATCTGTACCAGTTCTGAGGCAGCGGCGCGGGTAGAGGAACGTAGCGTAAACCGGGGACATCTTCACGCAGGTCGCAAACCATCACGCCGTGATCGAGATCAACCCATCCCAGCACACCTTCCGCGATCGTGATCACCTTGGTTGCAATAACCTTCCTAACCTCCGGGTACGGATCGACCATCGGAATGACTCTCCAGTTAGTGTCCTTGGATGAATAGATGTGCATCGAATACGAACACTTCATCGGTGACCGATAATCGACGACGAGAGCAGCTAGATCGAAATGTTTACCACCATTTGGGACGATACCGAACTCCTCGATTACCGGTAGAGGATAAACATGAGGAAGTGGAACCTGCTCCAGCGACGACGACCACGACTCGCCATTGTCACCATAGCCATGTAGCTTATACATCAAATAGTCGTATCTCTCGCTGCCGCGAGGGCTTGCGAGAGCAGTGAGGAGGATGAACGAGCCTTCTGCTCCGACAATTTTGGCATCGAGTTCGTCGAAGTTGTTGTACCTAGGGTGGGAGGAGTAGTGGCAGTGGAACGATAGGTAGGAGATTGCCGGAGGTTGGGAGATCCAGGAAGATACCTTGATGGTGTGGCCTCTGCTGGATGTGAGGGTGGCGACGGTGTCGTCGTTCATGGCGTCGGTGATGAGGACGTTCGTGTCCAGGAGAATCGGCTGGCGGCGGTGGCCGTTGATGTCGATCGATTGACGGGACGTCGACATCAAGTCGCCGGCCGGAGCGTCGTCGGAGTCGATGGCGCGGCGTCGACTCGCCGGAGAGGAACTCGGTGGATTTGGGATTTAGAGTTGGGACTTGTAATTCAGAGCCTACTGTTTTTTTTTAAATCTAGTTTTTCTGGTAAATATATAAGGAAAATTTCGTTCTACGTATACGTATCGCGAATCCTGACATGCAATTTTTTAGGGAATTAGGGATGTGCCGTGTCCAACTTCCAAACAGAATAAAGATCCGTCTCCTTTTGTACGACGGCCTCCAAAATATTCGCGGGCCTTTTGCCTTCGGCCCGGCCCATATATCGCCTCAAATTCCCCCAGCCGATCGATCGCCGACTCGACTCCTCCTCCTCCTCCTCCTCGTCGGCGGTGCTGCGGCGCTGATCTCCACGATGGCGGAGCGGTCTTCTTCTTCGTCGGAGTCGACTGGTAATGGTAATGTCAATGTGAATCTCTCTCTCTGTCTCTCGTAGGTTTTGTAGTGTGCCCAAGATGCGATGGATCGTGCTCTCGTTGATTGTTCGGGATGCGTGATTACTGGTTCGGTTGTTGGTTTATAGGGTTTTTGTTTATGTGATCTAGGTGTAATAAACCCGCGAATTAGTGAAACGAAATAAGCCCTTCGGTGTTTGTTTGATTCGGTTTATTTATGTTTATGTAGATCTAGCCATAAAAAAAAAGAACTTGTCAGGGCAGATCATACCATCATCACCCACAGCTCCTTGTAAAGGAGTAAAGAAACTGAAATTGGAAGTTTATCATATCATGTTAGTTTTTTTTGGTTCATATCCTCATCCTGATAAGAAAAATATCAACCTTGATTTGGTGTTATAGTAGTAGTTTCTTATGACCGACATTATTTTTGTATTTTAGAATTTGTTTATGTGATTGTCAGCTGATGAGCTGATAAAATCGAATTGGGAATTATTTGGTGCGTTGGTCAAATCCATCTTCATTCATAGTAGTTGCGTTCTAATCCACTTTGCAACCTCAATTTTTCGCGGAAAAGATTTATTGCATTGCAGCTTCCCTCATATATTGTAAGAAGAAAAGGTAGAAAAGAAGCAAGGAATCAGTTCTTTTATTCAGCTTCTTTACTAGCCAGTTTTATGCTTTGTTGTCAAAGCTGGCTACGGTACCATGCGATGCATGTTTCTGATTTGATCAATTCTCTTGCAGATGAGAAAAAAAGTTCAAAACCACAAGGATCATCCAATGATCATCAAGGGTTTCTGCCAGGAGGCTCTCCTGCAAATACTTTTGATTTTGCTTCTTTGCACAGCTTGCTCAATGTATGACCCCCCCTCCACCACCATTATAATAAGTTTGCACTACATGCTGGATTCCCAATTGGTTTCTGTTCACTTGAACTCTAAATACATTTTGTGGTTTCTGTTCACTTGAACTCTTCATACATTTTGTTTGTTACAGTTATTTTACATGATCCTGCCAGCTGCATACTTGCGCTTTAGATTTTATGAACCTTCGGTACTCCCTTTTCAATTGCTTCAAGTCTCCACCAATGTTTTTCAGGATCCATCTGTAAAGGAGATAGCAGATCAGATTGCAAAGGACCCTGCGTTCACCCAGATGGCGGAGCAGGCACTGGAAGGCGAAGGAGAACAGGGCATGCCTGCAATAGACCCTTACATTGAAACAATGCAAAAGTTCATGGAAAGCCCCCATTTTTTTACAATGGCAGAGCGTCTTGGGGATGCTCTTGTGAAGGTACCATGTTTGTTTCCTAGTTTGTCCAAATATCTCCCGTGTGCTCATTTTCCTTGTTTAATTTGGCTATTGTTGTCCTAAATGCTCCACAATTCAATTGCATGGTTTAGGATCCTGCAATGTCCAGTCTGCTGGAAAACTTGACTAGTCCAATGCATAATGCAAAGATAGAAGAGCGTGTTTCTCGTATGAAGGAAGATCCAGCCGTGAAATCAATTATGGATGAGTTAGAGACTGGTGATCCTGCTGCACTGATAAAGTAGGTCATGTTTACTACTGATGATATGCGAATATGACCATATGTTTATCACTTATTGATGTATCCTGCTTTTGCTCATAATAGGTACTGGAATGACCCAGAAACATTTCGAAAGATCAGCCAGGCAATGGGGCCTTTAGGCGGCCCTGATTTTGCTGAACCTTCTGGAACTGAAGGAACTGAGGAAGAAGGTGAATATGAAGATGAATCCATTGTCCATCACACTGCCAGTGTTGGTGATGATGAGGTAAGGGGGCCAGAGTGCTAAGTAGTACAGCTAAGGATTTTAAATTTCAAATCCCTCAACTAACGGCAAGAATAATGGACGAAATACATACATGGTCAGCATGTGGGGCAAAAAATCTTGCGAGAATAGCGCCTTAACCTCTCATCCTTTGTTGTAATTTTCCTTTTTTCTGCTCTCCTCCCCCTGTCTTTCCCCTTGTCACCATTGGTGGTATTTGTATAGTGCTTATCTTCTGAAATATAAAACCAGCTAAGCTGGCTAAGGTTTCAAAAAAAAGGATTTTAAATTATTATTAATATTACTATTTAGTCTTGAGCTTGAGAAGTGCATATGTTTCTATGTCTTGTTGGTGTGTAATGTATAATTTACTTGAGAAGTGTCCATTCGTGTGTGTGTGTGGTTATATAATATCTTCAATTACAGTAATCTGCCTCTCCGTTTTGGTTTTGCTCTGAACAACATGTCTAGGTTTTCGCACAAATTGTGATCTCGATGGCCTTTTCTGTTTCATTATCAATTCAGCTTGCCTTTCTTTACAAGTTTAAGTCATCTAATAGGGTCTGAAGAAGGCTTTAGATGGTGGAGCAGACAAAGACGAAGAAGATTCAGAGGGCAGAAGGGCCTTACACTTTGCATGTGGGTATGGGGAGGTATGCAAGTCTGCTTAACTAAACCCAATGACAATTGAAACCTGTGCAAGTAGAAAATGCCGAATAAATACTACTATTATCTACTAGTACCTATTTGTTGTTATTGCAAATGACTAGGTTAGCAATGATAAAAACATCTCGTTGCGAATCCTGTGCAAAACGGATTGCATGTATGCCTTACTAGTCTTCAGAAAATTGCATGTATGCAATGTGACAGTTCATTGTGCAAACGAGTGTATATTGTTGCCATCAGTATCCCCGATACTAATTGAAGTTCCCCTAATGTTTTTTTTTGGTAGCGAGCTATCGTTGAATTCAGCTTATTTGGGGGCTAGTTGTCTTTTTGCATTCTATGATGAGTTTTGACAAATTTATTGATTTATCTTTTTTTTTTGCTTTTAACACACGTTTCAAGATTTTTTTGGTACTCCCTCCATCCCAGAATATAAGCATTTTGGACATATGCAATGAATCTGGACATATGTACATCTAGATTCATAGCTAGAAGTTGTTATATTTTGGGACGGAGGTAGTAGATGGAAAGGTGCAGAGCTTGCTGTTTTACTTTGTTAGTTTTTTGGGGGCAGTTCATTGATGATAATCCAGACCTCACAGGTCAATCCACAGTAACCTGTCCATTGAACATTGCACAAACTTGCCAGATCAATGTGCACCTCTCACCTAGCTATAATAGTATCGAACTATGAGTTTCCATAACCCTGCTGTTTGTATAATTGCATTTGGTGTGCAATGCTAGAGCACAAAAGTTAATGAATGACAAACTACCTTTTGATTCATTGTCTTGTGGATCTAGAATGTGGTGTGAGACTTTTTTTGGGGAACTGCATCTGCTCCTTACTTGTTCACTGACTAATCAGGATTTGGGGTCAAACTTTTATTTTTTCAGTTGAAGTGTGCCCAAGTACTTCTTGAGGCGGGTGCTGCAGTGGATGCTTTGGACAAGAACAAGAACACTCCGCTGCATTACGCCGCTGGCTATGGTATGAAGGGGTGCGTGGATCTTCTGCTGAAGAACGGAGCCGCTGTGTAAGTTAAACCTGCTCGCTTTGCTAGCTGCGATCACATCTTTTTTTTTTTTTTGCATTCTTTGACTGTCTCGAATTGCATATCGCAGCACCCTCGAAAACATGGATGGCAAGACGGCCATTGACGTTGCGAAGCTCAACAACCAGGACGAGGTTCTCAGGTTGCTGGAAAAGGATGCCTTCCTGTAGATCGCCTTTGTTATTCTCATGGGCGCATGAACAGTTTGGCTCCAGGATCATCATTCTTTAATTTCTTTGGTGCCGCCATTCATATTTCTTTGCAACCCAGTGGCAGTTCATAAGATACGGTGAAGGGGCTGCCACACAACTGCTGTGGTTCACGATGACTTGCGTACCCCAGCTTTGTTTCTCTTGTTTTCATTAGTGCAATCGAGATTGTGTATCCACATTTTTTTTTTCAATATTGCGCATATATTAAAGATGATATATATGTCTTTTCCTTTTATGTGAAATCATTTATGGTTTATGTTTATGTTATTTCTCAAAGAGACGGCACGGCTAAACCAGTCAGTATTTTTGGAAGGATATTTAGACCCAAATATAGGTTGGATCTTAATCGTATCCCTTAACCGTAAAACCGATATAATCATTCCTTCAACTATTAAAACTGTGTAAAATGACAGTGTTGACTAGTGGTTGTCATTGACATGACACACACTTGGTACTCTATTCATCACAAAAATTTAAAAAGCGTTTAAAAAAAATACAGTGAGACCCCGCGGCAGCAGGGTGGCACTTGGGCCTTGCCGTGTCGCCGTCGCTGGAGCTTCCCAGAAGAATATGGAATTTGGCTGGATCGGCTAGCTAGATTTTTTTTTAATAATGGATTAAACCGGTTTCTACATTTAAACGGATATACACGGCCCCTAATGCAGAGCCCCTGCGTTGTGATTGTCCGGTGCGCGAGCAAGCGTTATCCGCCGTGCGCGCTCGCCGGTGTGTGCTCTGAAGAAGTTACCTGTCGTTGTGCAAATTGCAACTTGCCGTCGATGCTTCCATTCCTCGCTTGAGTCGCAACACACTGGGATGATGATCGCTATTTACCACACTCTCTTGACATGTACAGGTTTATCTGGACTCTGGAAAGCTCGGGCTGGAAAAAAAAATGAAATGGGTGGATGCTGACCTTCTCTCGATGAATGCGGAAAAGATCAATCTCTTCCAGCCTTATATTTTTCACTTATACTTATAAGCCGAAATCTGAATTTTTAACTTCAAATTTAGAGTTGATTTTGAGGTTTTTTTTAATCATAGTTTATTTTAGATGGCTAAGAACACACATATAAAAATTTTATTCACAAATTAATTTTCGTTTGCAACTATATCGTTTGGTGGCCCCATTCTTTTTTTTTACCGATTCATACATTGCATCCAGCTACTTTCCACCTCCCGGTCGATTGTTGGGTTGTTCACCATGTGCGTCGCTAACACGGCCACCTCTCGATCGTTGTTACCAACAAAGAAGAGCGTCGCCACCCTGGTGCCACCGAGAAGGCAATAGAGACATATAGAGGAGATAGGGAAGAAAGATGAGGGAGAGGATAACAAGTAGGTCTCACTTTTTTTTTATAATTCGGTGATACTGAAGCTACCACATCAGCAAAAAGACACATTCAACACCACATCAGTAAAAAGACACATTCAACACAATCGTGGTTGGAAGTTCGCACCAAATTGTCACCTTTGTTCTGAGGATGGAGAGTCCTACCAACACATTTTCCAGGCTTGCACCTTCTCGCAACAGGTTTGGGTGCAGGTTCAGGCTCGTTTGAGCCTCTCCTTCTTGCCGCCGTCCTCGGATTTTGCCAGTTGGTGGCTCGCTGCCCGGCAATCTATTGCGAAGATCGATCACAAGACGTTCGACACCGGAGTCATTCTCGTTACGTGGTTGATTTGGAAATGGCGCAACGCACGGGTTTTCGAGGGAACGGCCTCGTCAGTCACGCAACTGTGTGCGGCCATGTGTGATGAATGGGAAACTTGGAAATCAGCAGGGCTAGTTAGCTCGTTGAGTGTTGCCGTAGCGCCAGCTTTAGAGAGATTACAACCTTTGTAATTTGCTTATTGTTGTAAAGGCGGTGTTCTGACGCACACATTAGTGCCCCTTCCCAGAGGGTTTGTGCAGTTTTCTCCTTTTTTTAATATATACATCGGTCGGTATTCTTCGCCATCCCGGCCAAAAAAAAAAATTCATACTTTTTTTTTTCCTTTTGGAAGCGCTTCGATCACAGGTACACAGCCCATTCATTGTTCCATGGCCCAACAAACGTACACACACACCTGTGGCGACAGAATGGAGAGAAAGCAAGATCGGTTGGGGAACGGCGGGCGTGCGGCGGCGCGGCGGCGTGGCGGGCGCCCGCCGCCCGTTCGAGAGTGCAGCATTGCCACGATGGGCGGAAAAGGGTGTGGGGGCAGGCGCCGGCGCCGGCGGCGGTGGGTTCAGCGGCAGTGCCTGCGGGTGACCGGTTTCTTTCCGCCGTTTCGCCTCCAAACTGTCACCAAATCTTTCGTCTGCGCATGAACTTCTTCTGAAATTTTGCTGGTATTTCCTTTTGAACTCTGCTGAGGCCCCCAAATAGTTTCAGCAGTTGTCAAATTTAAGATTCACATGATGTGTCCTCAGTTAGGTTTATCAGTTTTTGACCTCTAGCTCTTAATTTGTGTACTAAATCTCCTTATGGGAGGGGATCGTTTTAAATCTAGAGAAACGTCCAGCGATCTTCCGGCTAGCTCCACAAGGTGGTGGGCTAGTCGGCCTGGTTTCGAAGCCTCACCCTCTCTATTTATTTGATATTAGGTTTTTCCCTAGTATTCTCATTTTTTGATAATGATACCTAAATGTGGTTGCATCCGCGATCCTATCACTAGCTATCAACTATGTATCTTGAAGAGCCCCAGATGTTCGTTCAATTCCAGTTCCAGCGGTCCAGCCATTCCCAGCGCAATTTGGTGAAGCAATTTGGTTATGGTGGATGTAAGTGAGGTGTATTTAGTGGTGAAGCTAGCAATTTTGATTGGGCGAGGAGCTCGATTTGAGGGAAACTGACGCATCAGATTTGGAGACTAGCAATGGAGTATGTGAAACAGGTGGGAAGAATCCAAGTACACCACAAATGGTGAATATGAGGGCTGGGCTGATGGAGATGTAGCGTGTAGAGCTTGCTTTGGCGCCGATGGCTTCGCCGTCAACCCTGCTCTCCTGCAGCTGGTATTGCAAATAGCTAGCAAAGTGACAACGAAGAAATGAGAAGCTGCAGCTGCATGATGATTCAAATGGCTAATAAGCTCAATTTTGGATCAATGGATAAGAACCAGGTGGCCCCCACCATCTTGGCATGTTTGTCCCTGAGCTGAAGCTCCTCATTTTAATACCCCGTTGGTTTCTGCTCAAGTCCCCTGCATTGGTGGCAGAAGCAGACCCATCCACACAATCAAAGAAGAAGAGTCAGAAGAAGAGAGGTGAGCTGGCCAGCAATGGAGGCGACGGCGGTGAGCGTGGGCAAGTCGGTGCTCGGTGGAGCACTTAGCTATGCCCAAACCGCGATCGCGGAAGAGGGAGCTTTGAAGCTGGGCGTCCAGCGCGACCAAAGTTTCATCAGGGATGAGCTTGAGATGATGCAGTCTTTCCTGCTGGCTGCGGACAAAGAGCATGATGGACATCATCACGAGGTCATCAGGACCTGGGTGAAGCAAGTACGTGACGTGGCCTACGACGTGGAAGACTGCCTCCAAGACTACGCTGCCCGGTTGAAGAAACCACCCTGGTGGAGCCTCCCTTGCACAGTACACCGGGAGAGGCGTCGCATCGGGAACGAGATGAAGGAGCTGAGAGCCAAGGTTGAGGATGTCAGCCAGAGAAACATGCGTTACCATGGTGTGTCTGCAGCTGCCCCACAGTCTTCTTCTGTTACTGCTGCTGAGCTGCTGCAATCCACTGCCGCCATCGACGACATTGATGAGGCTAGACGTGCCGCCAAGCAACAAGAAAAGGTGGACCTCGTGAAGCTCATCACCAACGACGGACAAGGTGGACTTAGAGTGATTGCTGTGCTGGAAACAAGAAGTGGACCTGCTGGGACAGTGCCCGTTGTTCGAGCTGCCTACCAAAAGCTCAAAGGAGAGTTTGAATGCCACGCCTGGGTAAGGCTGATGCACTCCTTTGATGCAAACCAATTCATTGGGAGCTTGGTGAGGCAGTTCAAAGCGAACTCTCGCGAGGGTACTGGCAAGACACCACAAGGAACACCTTCTGGGGTGTCTGTTCTGAATGAGATGGAAGCACAAGATTATAATCTGCTTCATGACTTTACTGGATATGTGACCAACAAGAAATACTTGGTTGTGCTTAATGGCCTGTCTACAATAGAAGAGTGGGACTGGATAAAAACTTATCTTCCAAACAATCATAACGGGAGCCGAGTCCTAGTGTGCACACAGCAAGCTGAAGTTGCAAGCTGTTGTACTTGTACCGATGATAAGTACAAGGTGTCTGAGATTCAACACGAAGGGTCATTTTCCAAACCTCTTTATGTCTTCTACAAGGAGGTAATGGTTATATATCCAACCCGGCACGTTGATGCAGAAAAATTGCATGATAAAATAGTATACATAATTTTCCTTTTATTTCAGGTAGGGATACAAGAATTTTTTGATGAAACTACGAATACCATCACTCATTCACATTGTTTGTATAGGAAACAAAATTCTTAAATGCAGTAACAACATAATTCACCGTGTCCCAAACATTACATTTCAATATGACTCTGATAAATGACTTGATATTCAGGAGTAAGTTCATCCTATTAAGGCACCTTTCTTTAGATAATGATATTAAAGCCACCTACTAGCATAAGAGGTCTTTTCCTTATCAGATAAAGCATGTTTGTTGTTATTGATTGACCAATCTTCACTGAATAGTTGGAGTACAATCAAACAACCATTTTTTGTTTCTCAGTTATAGTGCATTCACCAACTAAAGAAAAAAAAACTTTGAACAAACAATTATCCAGGTCAATCAATGTAATGCTTCAAAATCCATTCAACTAAATGTACTTAATTTTGGAGGTAGTTAACTATTGTCTAATGGCATTTTCTTTTTTAGGTGGTCTCTCAGCCAGTTAATTCAGATTCCACTAAGATGAAATCAGAGACCAGGTCCAGCATGGAGGGTGCCTCTACTACTAGTGACAGCAAAACAGTACCTTCTGATGGCGTGATACAGGAGGATGGCCCGAAGGACCTGCCTGAAAGCAGTTTACCCCCTCACCTCAACAGAGATTCCAACACTGTGTCTGTGAAGGAACTTTCTCGCAGCACGACACAGCTCATTGGTAGAGGAAAAGAAAAGGATGACGTCATCAAACTGCTTTCTGATTGTAATCCGATCCGTCAAGTGATTTCGGTGTGGGGAATGGGTGGCATTGGGAAAACCACTCTCGTCAAAAGCATCTATCAGAGCTCCGAGCTTGAGAAGCTTGGGTTTGAGAGGCGTGCTTGGGTAACTGTATTGCGTCCTTTCCAGCTTACTGAGCTCCTTAGGAGCTTAGCTCAGCGGTTGGTTAAAGATTCCCCTGGAAAGAAGGTAGAATCTATACCAGGACTTGCAAGGAGTGGTTTAAGCACGATGGGATCTGAAGAATTAATTGACAAGTTGAAGCAAGATTTAACTGGGAAGAAGTACCTCATTGTCCTTGATGACCTATCGACTACTACTGAGTGGGATTCAATAATAAGAAACTTGCCTATAAACAACAATGGTAGCCGGATCATACTGACTACAAGATTTAAACTTGTTGCGCAACATTGTTCCAAGAAAGAAATGAACATGCACAATATTGAAGGTCTAACAGACGGAGATGCTCTTGAGCTATTCTTAACTAAGGTAAATGCTCCCACATTTTTTTTTGACTAAATCACTGTTGTGTGTGTGTGGGGGGGGGGGGGGGGGAGAGCTTCCCCACCTGAATTTTGTCATTGCCATAAATTAGGAGGTTTACACATAGAGTTACAATGAATTTAGATTTCGAAGGGGGAAGAGAATATTTCCTTCCACATGGAGATTACAGTTTTATCTTCAGTTTTTAAGATTTCAGACCATATTGCCGCTTCACTGACGCACCGTCTTAAGCACAATTGTATCGACGGTGCACTCCTTCTGAAAACCACATCGTGTCTATGGTTCCACAAAGCCCAGAAACATAGGAGGTAGAAAACTCTGAAATGAGGCATCGGAATTTTCTGCACTGGCTTTAGTTCGTGCAATCTTGCCACCTCCTGAACTGTAGGTGTAACCTGAATCTTTTCCCAAAAACTTTGAGCGAAAGGGCAGAGGATAAATGCTCCCACATACATAGTACTAGCTTGTTTTTGCCCACTATGCTATATCCTTCATAGATGTTAGTTTCAAATTTTTATATTTGAAATATATCCTTCGGGCTCGATGTAGTCGTACAAACCGTCTCCTCCTGGCGCGGAGATTTCACTCGCTCCGACTACAGGACCAACGTCGGCGTTTTCTATTTATGCTACAATCATTACCACAATAAATAACAGAAAAACAAAGATAACCAAAACAAATAGTATCATAACGTGCAACAATGGATGAAAAGGATTAAAGAAATAATTTTAGAGATTTTTCGAATTTTGACAAATGGCGAACCCTAGGCCAAAATTAGGGTTTCGTCAACGGGTGCTCAGATTGCAATGAAACTGGCACATATGGGTTTGGAATAAATCTAGGAGTTTGGAGTAGGTCTCGGATTTTGATGGCCAACTTGATAGGAAAAGAAAAAGGGAATTTTCTGATTTATTTTTCAATTGGAAAATCCGGTTTTTCTCTTCTTCTCTCTCTCTACACAGAAGCCGGCCGAAATCCTCACGACGCCGGCGGTGGAGGACTCGGTTTTGGACAAGGGGGCGCCGGTTTTGTGATCTAGGGGTCAAGGTGATTCTGTTCCCGCGGTCGGCGGCGAGGCTGGCGGCAGCGGCCAGAGACAGGAGGCGGAGGCAGCCATGGCAGCGGCGGTTCCAGTGATCTCCAGCGAGGGCGACGGGCTTGGTGAGCATCAGTGAGGCGAGGAGAGTCCAAGGGGGGCGGCAGCTCGAGCTAGCGCGGCTGGGAGCGGTGGCGCGCCATGCGGCCGGCGGCAGCCGAATAGAGTAGCAGCGTCGGTGGCGTTCCGGCGACAGATTGGATTGGAAAAGAGAGGGGAAAGGGACTACTCGGCATGGAGAATTTGTTTTACCTTCAATTTCAGAGGATTAGCAATGTGTGCGACGAATTTTAGAGCTCTGTGAATGACGCCGAAGTAGGGGTTTTGGGGATTTTTCCCTCCGGAGGTTGGGGCGGATTTGAGAGGGTGGAAGAGGTCGAAGTTGCGGTTCTTTTGCCTCCGGTATTGAGATTTCTAGTGGAAGGACGAAAGAGATATGATGGCGGGAAGCTGGAGATGTTGCGGCGGCATTTGTCCGTCGGTCGTCCTCGTGCAAGCGTGTGTGAGCGTTTGGCGTGCTTGGTGCAAGCATGAGCAAGCGTGGTGCGAGGCAGCACGGCTGGCTCGGCCAGGTCGAGTAGAGAAAAGAAAAGAAAACAGAGAAAGGGAAGGAGAAAGAAGAAAATAGAAAAGGAAAAAAAATAAATAGATGGAAAAAGAGAATTAAGGTAAAAGTAGAGAAGGAAAATATGGAGAAAAATTAAAATGGATAGGATTTGAATTAGTGTGAAATTTAGGTGGTTCGACTTTCGGGATAAAATTAAATTGGATCAAAGGAATTATTTGAAGGATGATATGAACTTTGTGACAATTAAACAAGAAAGAAACATCGAAAATAAACATTGAAAATAATAATTTAAATAAACTACTAACTCGACGGTTATATTTTTAGAGAATCAAAGCAAACTAAATCGGTTTTAAAAAATTATCAAATTTTAGGGCTGTTACATAAATTCTAGAAGTAGAAGTTAATTTGGTATACAACTCTTAGTTTTTGTTTCCATAAATATAATTATATTATTTTTGTGGTTGAGATATAATTATATTATGTATGCAGCTATATCAATCAATCTACACTGCTATGATCTAATATTACCATGATCTAACAATCAATATCTTTTTCTTCAATTATTGTAAGAATCTGCAAACCTCCAAAACAACTTTCAGGTTTTTTAAGCTATATTTATAAAAAAGGTAGTTAAATTGTCTTCTCTTGTTGTAATGCATGAGCATCTTGCTAGTTAATAATATAATCAATAGTCCTAGACACATACAAATTCCAACTTCCTCCATTCCAAAATATAAGGCACAACCACTCTTAACCCAAAAACCAAGAAACAATTATTATCACCTCCTAGTTTTGATCACCATAATAAATATAATGCATGCACCCAATAGAATTAGAGATCTTGAAGGTGGAGGATTTAAATGATAATAATTTAGTGGAGAGGAGGTGCTAGTTAATTACATGCATGCATGCCTTGCATTGTATTATGAAACATCTAAAAAAAACTAGTTATGCCTTATATTATGGAATTGAGGGAGTATTAGTTAAACCTAAATTTTGTAATTGTTAAATCTTGAAGAAATTAAAATTGAGATCGCAAACAGAGTACTACTTTATATTGGAGTGCACACCAGCTGGAACTTGCTAATTATTAAATTATAATTTTAATAATTGTTAAATTGAGAAAACAATATATTTGGATTCTATAACAAGTACAATTCATTACTTATTAATTTCAAATTTCAGAAATTTTAAATCATAAAAAAAACTATAATTGAGACTCCTAACCATGTATAACTTTGTATATACTTATTAATTTCGTATTTCAGAAATGTTGAATTAAGACAATAGAATAAATAGAATAAAGTATTAGAGTGAATTCTTGATACAATTTTGTAAGTACTAATTTAAGTTTTTTGAAGTATTAATAAAAAAGAATTAGTTTACATGCATACAAACTATGTAATATAAATAGTCCATGTGAATGCACATGTTACCGACTAGTATAAAATAACTGATTGCCATGTCTATGTCATCCATGTGTATACATCCTTGTGAGGTAGATTGATTTGTTATGTATCATGTCGATTTTCGCCTTTTACATTTTTTTCCCTTTTAAAATTAATGAAACAAAATTTTCAGACAACTAAGATTTTCAAATTTTCCATTGGGATTTTATTATTAGAAAAAACTAGAGCACACTTCCTTGTGAGTGAGACAGAAATCTTTAGATATTTCAAGTATTTAGCTTGTTAAGTGACATTTGCTGTAGGTACGCATGGATGGTGATGAATCAGAATTGAAACCTGACTTGAAGGAGGAAGCAAAAATTATCATCAAGAAGTGTGGCCGACTTCCCCTTGCAGTCGCTACAGTGGGTGGTTTCTTGTCTGCCAGACCTCGAAATATCATAGAATGGAGGGAGTTTAGTGATCGCATCAGTGAAGAATTTGATAACAACCCAAGTCTTGAGATGATAAAGAAAATACTTGCATCAAGCTATGAGGGTTTAACTTACCACTTGAAATCTTGCTTCCTATATATGTCGATTTTCCCTGAAGACTCTGACATCAGATATAGACGATTATTGAGGCGATGGACTGCAGAGGGTTACTCAAGAGCAACGAGAAACAGGAGCAACGAGAAAGTGGCAGAAGAACAGTTCACAGCTCTTCTCAACAAGAGTATGATCCAACAATCAAAAACGATTGCCAGTGGGAAGACAGGTTTCTGCCAAGTCTATAATCTCATGCATGAAATCATCATTTCAAAGTCTGAAGAAGAAAACCTTGTTCTTGTTCTAGATGACCACATCACCTCGCGCTCTAAAGATAAAGTACGCCACCTTGTTGTGAGCAAGAGCTGGAGCAGAGAAAAGAACGATATGCAAAATATAGTGGATGTGTCCCACATACGATCTCTGACAGTCTTTGGGGAGTGGAAATCATTTTTCCTTTCTAAGAAGATGAGGATGCTTCGAGTGCTTGATTTAGAAGATGCAGAAGGTCTTCAGGATCCTGACCTTGTGCCAATTGGAAAGCTTCATCATTTAAAGTACTTGTCTCTACGAGGATCTTTTGGAGTCTTCAATCTTCCAAATTCCTTTGGTAACCTGTTGAACCTGGAGACACTAGATATCAGGGGAACATGGGTTACAAAGTTGCCAGCAACCATTGGTAGGCTCCAAAACCTGAAATACGTCCATGCCGGATCTTTAGATGATGAGGATGATCAGCCGATAATTAAACTACTGCATCAGTTCAGATCAATCCGAGAAGAGATGGGAACCAGGTTCGCTGTATCATATATCATGTTGTTCATCACCGCTTGGTTAAGAAACCTGGATGTATGTGGTGTTAAAGTGCCAAGAGGGATTGGACGGTTGAGGTCCATTCACACACTGAGCATCGTGAACATTGCACGGGGAAAGGCCTTGCTCAAAAACCTCAAAAAGCTAACCCAACTGTGTAAACTAGGTGTGACTGGCATCAACAAGAATAACTGCAAAGAGCTCTGTTCTGCCATTGCCGACCATGGCCGCTTGCAGTCCTTATTACTGCGGGCAGAGGGTAATGCTGGGTTAGAAGGTTGTTTGGATAACATGTCCCAGCCTCCTAAAGACCTTAAGAGCCTCCAGTTGTACGGCAATCTGGTGACTTTACCAGAATGGATTAAGGATCTTAAAATTCTACAAAAGCTGAGCCTTCGCAACACCAATCTGAAGGCAGATACTACCATGGAAGTGCTTGGAAACCTACCAATGCTAGCCATTCTTCGTCTCCAGGACAATGCGTGTGAGGAGGAAGAACTCTGTTTCGGTCCCGAGCGTTTCACAGGTCTGACGTCATTGGAGCTTCTCAATTGGGAGAGCCTCAAGTCGGTGAAATTTGAACGAGGAGCTACTCCTAAACTGAAGGTGCTACTGCTGCACTACTGTTGGCAAATACACAATGGTGGGTTTTCTGGCATAGAAACTCTCTCGACCCTAAAGGAAGTTTCAATCTTGGGCTATAATTATGACCAGACCTACACCGAATTCAAGGAACAATTACAGAAGCAACTTGACATGAACAAGAACAAACCAAATCTAAGTATTCTGTAGTCCAAAACTGCCACTGGCTTTCATAGAATTGCTCCCTCCACACTCAAATATGTGGCATTGTGTCATTCAGGTAGTGTTTCAAATTTCAAAATCATGTATAATTATGACAATTTCAACATTAAGTTTTACTCCCTTTTTTCTCCTCATGTACCATACGCTTTAAGTAATTAAGTGTATAAGTTTAGTTTAGTTTCATGGTGAAAATTGTAGTACCTTTACCATTTACTTCCAGTGGCAAAGACAACAGAAAACACAAAGTGGTTCATCTATTTATCGTAAAATTATCAGTGTTTATATTGTATAAAATAATACTCCCTCTGTTTTTTAATATATAACGACATTGACTTTTTAATAAACATTTGATCATTTGTCTTATTTAATTTTTCTTTTTTTGCAAACATGAAAAAAATACAAATCATGCTTAAAAAACTTTCAATGATAAATCAAATCACAAGAAAAAAAATGATAATTATATAAATTTTTTTAATAAGATAAATGATCAAACGTATAAAAAAAATCAACGGCATCATATATTAAAAAACGGAGATAGTAAAAGGTAAGGAAAGCTTGAGGGCCTGTTTGGTTCTCAGTTCGGCTCCTTCAGTCCATCGTTTGATCTCTTCTACTACCCATCTGCTCAATCAATGGCTGCCTGTCCACCCTCACTCTTCGCCCTAAACCTGATGTTAATTTCATTAACAACTACATACTTCGTACTTCCCTGTAGCCTGTAAGTACGTGTACTCGCGCACACGGTTAACCACGATCCCTTGTTAGAGATCGAACCGCTGCCGAGTTTCACGCCGGATTCTGCATTCCGGCCTCTTCATCACCTGCTTTGCCCTGCTCGTCACTAGCTCCTCTGCCTCCTTGTAGCTCCTGCGTGCATCAGAGCTCTCTCAGTTTCAAGCGAAATGGCAAAAGATTACAGAACCATGTACGCATGTCAGGATGCAGCAATTGACAGCTTAAAGGCAGCATATATACTTGTATGAGTATATGAGGAGGCCAGGCCGCCGTGCCGGCGAAGCCGACGAAGTAGATCCAGTCCACCTGGCCAAGAGCAAAAAATGACGGCTTTGATCAGTGCAGTTCAGTCCAAGAATCGATCAGCTTGTGTAGTGAAAGGAATGTGCAGAGTGCAGACCTTCTCATGGTACGGAAAGATGGGGATGAGAACTGCCCACATGTCTGAAGTGAGTAGTAGGGGGGAAAGGTTCAGCATGGTTGCCCCCACATAGCTGCAACAGGCAACGAAATGATAAGCAATTGAACAAAAAGCGTGTTCATTGACATCATTTTTGGATCATGCACTTACGAAGTTCCGATCTCTGAAGTTAGAAATTTCATAAGTAAAAAGCAGAACAAATGTGTCGGCGTTGTCAGTGCGTGATTTGTGTGTTTTCTTCTTCTTCCTTTTTTTTTTCTGATTATAGCTTTTATGAAGCATCTGAAATATTACAAATAGGCATGCCATGAAAATTAATGGTCCAAATCATTTCGATACTTGTTGAAGTTTTCTTCTTGTGTCTTTTCTTTTTTTACAAGAGATACTTGATGAAGTTCGATGCTATTTTTTTTCATGCAAGAAAGTGAAGAAGAGGGCCTTGGCTTCAACTTACAAAGCATTTTATGAAAACACTCTGTGTGATCACCCAACTGAACCATTCCACCTCATTTCCTCTCCCTCTGACCAGATCTGGCCCTGCCGCCGCCAGAGCTGGCCGGTGGTCTACGCGGCGGCTAGGATGGCGGCGACGGGAGGTTGGAGGTAGCGGCCAGAGGAAGCCAGGCACACGTCTGGCCACGCGGCTTGGTTACGGCAGGAGGTGGTCAGGAGGGTGGTGGGTATTGGCGAGGCGTTGGTGACGGAGCTCCTTCGGACGACAGTGGGGCCGGCAGAGGACGGTGGCGGCCTGAGCGTCGATGGCCGCTCTGCGGCAAGAAGAAGTTGGTTCAGGCGGTGTAGCGCCCGTTCTGTCGTGGCGCCTAGTGGGAAAAATCCTAAATGCGAAAATTATTTCTTTGTTTATTGTCCAGTGTCCGTGCCATTCCAGATCTCAAATCCCCAATCCATCGTCGAATCCAAACCCTAATCTCAATCTGTCCCGAATCAAATCGTCTCGTAAAAGTCTATTTTGCCTCCCTCGAACTCATGGGCCGATCTCTTCTCCCCCGGCCCTTTCCCTCTCAGCCTATCTCTCCCTCCTCCTCCATCCTTGCCCGCACGTGCGAGGCACGTGCGCAGCTCGGGCGCTGAGCAAGAGAGAGAGCTCGCTCTCTCTTTCTCTTCTCCCTCCCTCTCTGCTCTCGCTACTGCTTCCCGCCGACGCCGCTCAAATCGCCGCGCCACCCGTTGCTTCCTGCGCGCGCGTGCCGCCGTCAGCGCCTGCCGCGCCTGACCCCGCGCCTGCCGCCCTGTAGCCGTGCCCTTCCAAACCGCCCCCGCCGTCATCGCCGTCGTCACGACCCGGCCCCGCCACCACCGCGCATGCTTCCAAGGGTTGGAGGCAGAGCTCCTCCTCCCACTGCCTCATCGCCCTCTCTCCCCTTCCTTCTTTTCCCAAAGAGGCAAGAGGCAAGTCTCCTTTCCCTCTTTCTTTTCTTCTTTTTCTCCCCCGCCGGCATCATCCTCCCTGTCGCCGTTTTGGCCGCTAGCCGGAGCGCCAGCTCGCTGGCTTGACCGCCCAATGTCGGTTCCTCCCTCCCAAACTGACATTGTCGCCCCTATAAATCCGAGCCCCTTTCCTCATTCCAAACTCCCTTGTTTTCGCCTTCCGCCTCCACCGCGCCATCGTCGCTCCGCCCTGCTTGCACCTCTGTCGTTCGTCGCCAAAGCACCGGGAGAGCCGGTGCGTGCGAAGGACGCGTGAAGGGGACTCCGGGCGCTCGTCTTCTTCCTCTTCCCCGGCCCGAGGCCGGAGAGATCACTCCCGTGCCGTCGGCCTCTCGTCACAGCGCCCCGCCTCGTCTCGGTAGAGCATTCCCCGTTCTCCCTCCTCGCTCTCTCTCCTCCTCTTAGATTTGTCGGTAGCGATCTTAGCACTCCCTGTAGCCGCCGCCCGAGTCCGGTAGCCGCCGCTCGTCGCCAGCCGCTCTCGGCGTAGCTCCGCCCAATCCAGTGCTAGGAATGCAATCCCGTAGCCGCGTAGATGCTCTCGCTGCCAAGAATCGGCCCCTCGTGGTCTCGTCGCCCTTCCCCTCTTTTGCCGCCGCCGGTGTGCGCCGCCGCGATTCATCGCCGTCGAGCCATCTCCGGTGCATCCGAGCCGAAGGCTCGATCCCTCTCGTTCTTGTAATCACACCGGTGCATCTCCCCTTGGCCGAAGATGTCCCGACGAGCTCCGGTGAGCACCGCCGTCGCCCGCCGTCCGTTCCCGGCCGGCCTCCCTTCGTCCTCCTCCAGCCGGCCCACGTGGCAGCCACGAAGGCGCCACGTCGGCGCCAGCTCGGCCGCGGGCTAGGACTGTTTGACCTCGGAGAAGCCGCTCCTCCGATCTGTCTCCCGTGCGCGCGTGGTCCACGGAGAGCCAGCTGGCTGCGCGTGGGCCCGCCGTCTCCCAGTCCACCCGGTGCACCATCTGTGAGCCGCATCCGCAAACCCTAGCTCCCCCGCGCCGCATAAACCCTCTCTCCCGTGCACCGAGTCACTGACTCGTGGGCCTACCCCGGGACCCCGCACGATGGATCCGGCTCATCCGGATCTCTCTCTCTCCCTCTCTCTCTCCCCCGCCTCCCTCTGTTGCGCCACCTTCTGAGGCCGCGCCGGCCCAACCAATTGGCCGAGCCGCGCCAACTCCTCTTGGGCCACGCTCTAGCCACCCATGAAGTCTAAATCCCCTCCTTCTTTCGTTGCTAATTCAAAAAGGATGTTAATAAATCCTTTTTCTTTAGTCCAATAAATCCTCTAATCTTAGAAATTCCATATCTCATCAACCATGTATCCTTTTGACTCCGTTCAACTTCCAAAATCTCTCAAATCTCGAGATCTATCTAATGGCACGCTTAGAGGTCAATAATAGGACTTTAATTTCGCCGTTTGTTGAGTCGTCTCGTTCGCGTGTAGCTTCGGAGCCCGAAGACCCGGAGTGCGCGGATTTCGAGGATCAAGCTCAAGAACTCGAGCAAGGCAAGTCACCTTTGATCATCTTGCACCTATACTTTAAACCTAAGTATTTCTTTTCCGCAAATAATGCATGGATAGGATTAACACAAGTAATTTGGCCGCGGCTTGCGAGATAGCCTACCGGCCCCAATCCTAATTGTTGCAATTACCCTCCTTGAATTATTGTACACTTAAACCTCCTTTGTCAACTATTGTACTTCGATGTACGGGCCTTCGGGCACGCACGTCGGAGTCCTCCCCTCAAATTTCAAATATCCAACGATGGGTAAAACCTGGGTTTTACAAAGGTCTTGGAAAAACCCGACACCTGGGTCGGTTCTTACGAACTAAATGAATTTCTAAAAATCGCAGACCGGGGGACGTGCCGGGAGCACGGTTTCCCGCTCTTGCACTTAAGGACCGATTCCTTTGGAATTTCATCCGTACATATAACAAGTACGACCACATGGGTGGAATGGGACACCCCTGGCTGAGTAATTAGCTAATCAGGGGAGCCTTGATGCCAGGAGACAAGTGGATTCGCCAGGGTGGTGTCGGGGAGGACCCCTGGGCTTCCTGGCACAGTATGGTCTGGGACCTAACCTGTTGTTGGTCTGGGACCCCTCTCGTCGGCATATGGTAAATGTAGCGCCCGTTCCGTCGTGGCGCCTAGCGGGAAAATTATCTCTTAAAAACCCTAATTGCGAAATTTGTTTCTTTGCTTGTTGTCTAGTGCCCGTGCCATCTCAAGATCTCAATCCGCGATCGATCGTCGAGAACAATTCCGAATCCAATTCCTTCCAAATCGAATCCCACCACAAAAGTCTAGTTTGCCTCCCCCGGGTTCGATGGGCCGAATTCCGCTCGACCCATCTCTTCCCCGGCCCCCCTCTCTCCCGGGCGCTCTCTCCCTCTCTCTCTCTCTCTCTCTCTCTCTCGCTCCCCCCCCGGCGCGTTTCCCCCCCCCCTCGCTGCTCGCGCGTGTGAGAGCCGCGCCGAGCGCCCCTCTCTCCGCTCCCCTCCGCTCCGCCCGCGCGCCGCGCGCGCGTGCGCGGGAGTCGCCCGCGCCGAGCCCCCCCCTCCTCTCGCGCGAGCACCCCGCACGCAAAGCCGGCC